GCTTTCTGGGCCCTAAGGACTCAGGCAGTGAGGAAAGGGGCAACAGGTGAGACGGGGTATGTGGACCACATGGTCCTGGTTCCTGGGGATGAGGAGTGGATGATTTAGTGAAGGGGGCAGGGCTGCCAGCACATGGATTATTCAGGGTGGTCTTAGAGCCACGGCCCAGGGTGGGAGCTGGCATCCAGGCAGGATGTATGGGTGGGACAGGGGTCAGGCCCCATCCACTGCACCCTAACCCAGCTGGGCCCCCTCCAGTCCTGCTTTTCTGGCAGCCGCCTCAGGCTTGAGAATGAACTCCACCCAGTTCTTCCCCTCGATCCTCTCCACAGCAAATATCTGGCCTCCCTGCATCTTTTGCTCACAATTCCTAAACGGGAGAATTTTCCACATTTTGAGTCCGTCCCAGTCAAGGTAGAAGCCAGAACTCACTCCCCAGCCTCAGGGGGCAATCATTGCGACCAAGCTCTGCTGTTCAGATGTCCCTGCGTAAGACTTGTAGGGGGTCCTCTGCAGAGACTGGGGTGGCAGAGGCCTCTGGCCCTTCAGGACAAGGGTGGCAGAGTTCTGGGGTCACACTGGAGCAGGGCTTTCTGTGGTGAGGGGTGCCACCCTGTCTTCAAGGGCTGCCTCTGCTGTGCGGCTTGGGTATCATTCTTAGCTCCATGGCATCCCAGTCTGACTCTTTGGCCTCCTGGGAAATCTATAAGCTTCAAAATGTCTTTTCTTAACTTGCTTTTCTGTGCAAACTATATGGAGTGAATTGTGTTGTTTGCGATTTACCTCCCCTCCCCCCAAGGCCCTACCACTCTTAGAAAAACTCACTGGGCAGAGGGGATGGGAAAAGGAATCATAGCAAAGAGTGGCAGTTCTTAACCCTTCACGCCACCTGGGCACTTATAAATGTGCCCACACCCAGCATCCTGCTCGCTCTGGGCATAACCCACATCTGAGCTGTTAGGGTGGCTTCAAATTCTGCAACATCACGGGATTATACTTTTGTGTAGTATTTGCAGGAATTCCTTGGGTCCCTATCTCATATGAGGTGAAGACTCCAGGATGTTTTCCTTTCCCATGTCTTCAGGGGGTCTAGGGGACAGTGACTTTTATTCAGGTCTCTTCTCTGTTCATTGCTGTGCTTCTGCTTGAAGTTTCTCTTCTCTTCTCCTTGATTTCTGTACTAGACCACCCTCCCCAGACAACCCCGAGGTCCTTTCTTCCCTAAGGGACACCAGTGCAAGGCTGTGTGTTGAAATCTGGGAATCAGAAAGTGTAGTGAATGATACTCTAGAATAGCACAGTAGACAATCTCTTTTTTCTTTTAAAATTTTTATTGTAGAATATATCACACAGAAAAGTGCATGAAACAGAAATGTACACTTTAGCAAATCGTTATAAAGTGAATACCTATGTAACAGTCACCCAACTCCAGAACTAGGCTGCTGCCAGCACTCCAGGAGCCTCCGTGTGCCCCGCTGTAAACAGTCTTTACAGTGACACATTTCATATGTTCAGAAGAGTGTATAAAACAAGTACAACAGAGTGAATCATCTGAAAAGGAACACCATGTGCCCATTAAATATGGTAGTACTAATATCTAACAAGCCTTTTTTTTTTTCTTTATATGGAGTCTCACTCTGTCACCAAGGCTGGAGTGCAGTATTGCAATCTTAGCTCACTGTAGCCTCTGCCTCCAGGGTTCAAGCGATCCTCCCACCTTAACCCCCCAAGTAGTTAGGATTACAGGTGTGCAACACCACGTCTGGCTAATTTTTCTGTATTTTTAGTAGAGATGAGGGTTTCACCATCTTGGCCAGGCTGGTTTCGAACTCCTGACCTCAAGTGATCCGCCTGCCTCGGCCTCCCAAAGTGCTGGGATTACAGGCATGAACCACTGTGCCCGGCCATAAGAAGCCTTCATTGTGCCTCCCCCCATCCTATCGTCCTCCTTTTCCCCAGCTTGCCTTCCTCTTCCTTAGCTTTTCCACCCGTCTACGCCCCCCCAGATAGCATACCCTGCAGCATTTGTATCTGTCAGCACTCTTGCAGGAAGCAGCTCGCACAAACAGGGAACTGAGGAGAGTTTGGGGAAGGAACTATTTACAAGGGTGTGAGCAGAGTTAAGGGAAACCAAAGGGAGGATGGTGAGGACGCCTAGGGCTGGTAACAGTGGGAATCACTGCTACCCTTAGACCTGAAGGGAGAGCCGTAGCCCTAGGAGAGGGCCCACACTGGCCTTGAATAGAGGGTGAGATGGGCCAGGCAGGGGCCAGCAGATGTGGGATCTCACTGCTCTCCTTCCTCCCATAGCCTGTGAGTACTTCCCATTGGCTGAGCCAATGGGTTTCAGGAGAACCCAATGCACAGGTGTCTATAAAGTCAGCCTCCTGGGTGCAGTACAGGGTGGACAAGGGTGAGGAGGAGCTCTGCATTTGGGTGCAGAGAAGGGGACAGTCAGAGGTAATATTGAAAAACTGAGTAGCCAGCACAGTGGCTCATGCCTGTAATCCCAGGACCTTGGAAAGCTGATGAGGGCAGATTCCTTGAGCCCAGGAATTCAAGAAGAGCCTGGGCAACACAGCAAGATCCTGTCTCTCTTGCAAATACAAAAATTAGCCAGGCATGGTGGTGTGTGCCTGTAGACCTAGCTACTCAGGAGGCTGAGGTGGGAGAATCGCTTGGGCCCAGGAGATTGAGGCTGCAGTGAGCTGAGATTGCACTCTCACTCCAGCCTGGGCAACAGAGCAAGACCCTGTCTCAAAAAAAAAAAAAGAAAAGGAAAAGAAAAATTGAGAAGCAAACCTTTCACAAAAGGAAAAGGCTACTCCTGTCAGTTGAAGACTTAGAGAAGGTAAGCTGAGCAGAGCCCCTGGGCAATAGTCCAGCTTTAGCATCCCTCAGTTTACAAAAGTCCTTTCTGGGGACATTCCTGGACCAGGCCACGTGTGAACCTGGGGAAACAGGCTCCCTGTAGCTGAGGCATCGGGCAGGGCTGTGATGTGGGCCAGAGACCGGACACCTGGCAAGAGGAGAGAGCTGCTTGGCATTTTTTCCTTCTAAGCTCACTGTGGCCCACATCCAGTTCTCAGGAGCAGGCAGATCACACTGCCGTGGGGGTGGCAGCAGGCAAGGAGGCGTGGGCACCGACTGCACAGCACATGGTCGAGACAAGGCAAGGGCAAATCAAAACCGGGGCTGGCTCACCACAGCCTCCTGTCCTCGGGTTGGAAAGACTGTCTAGTGGCAGTGACCCAGTGACAGCCCTCCATGCGCCTCTTGCTGGTGTTGTGCCACTCCCACCGGGACCAACTGCCCTCCCTGTCTGGTGCAGCCCTGTCCTCCCACACCACCCTCCTGGGGCCTGCCCCTTGCCTCTTGTCTGTGCTGGCTGTCCCTGTTCCTATGTCCTGTGTCTTCCCTTCCGTTAACTCTCAGTTTGAAGGAGCACATTCTTCAGGAGCTTGAGAAATGCTGCGTAGGAGGACATTTTCTTGCAATATTGCACGCCTAAAAGTGTCTTTAGTTGCATATGTAATTGGTATTTGACTGGACAGAAGAGTCAGCTTGGAAAGCATGTCCCTCCATCATTTCGGGTTTGCCTTTGCTGTCTTCCTGTGTGCCAGCACTGCGGAAGAGTGATCAGAACCAATCGGAATGCCCATCCTTTGCCCCTGACCTGTTTTCTGCCCCATCTTAAAGCTTGTGGAATTCCGTTGTCCCCAGCTGTCTGAAATTTCACAAATATATGCTTGGCATGGGCCTGTTTGCATCCCTTGCCTGGCTCTTTCTTCTCTGTAATTTCTGTTATTTCCATATTAGATCTCCTAGGCTAATCCTCCAATATTTTAAATCTTTTCTCTCCCACTTTCCATCTGTTTTTCTTTTCTTCTTCATGATTTCTAGGAGATTTCTTCAACTTTATCTTGCAAACCTTCTGATATGGTTTGGGTCTGTGTCTCCGTCCAAATCTCATGTTGAATTTTGATCCCAGTTTTGGAGGTAGGGCCTGGTGAGAGGTGATTAGATCATGGGGGCGGATTTCTCATGGATGGCTTAGCGCCAGCCTCTTGGTGCTATTCTTACAACAGTGAGTGAGTTCTCGCGAGATCTGGTTGTTTAAAGTGTGTGGCACCTCCTCCTTCTCGCTCTTGCTCCTGCTCTGGCTCTGTGATCTAGAGCTGGCTCCAACTTTACCTTCCTCCATGATTGGGAGCTTCCTGGGGCCTCCCCAGAAGCAGATCCTGCAGCTCTGCCTCCTGTACAGCCTGCAGAACCATGAGCCAATTAAACCTCTTTTCTTATAAATTGCCTAGTCTCAGACATTTCTTTTTTCTTTTTTTTTTTTTTTTTTTGTGACAGAGTCTTGCTCTGTCGCCAGGTGCTAGGCTGGAGTGCAGTGGTGCAATATCGGCTCACTGCAACCTCCACCTCCCAGATTCAAGCAATTCTCCTGCCTCAGCCTCCTGAGTAGCTGGGACTATAGGTGCAGGCCACCATGCCCAGCTAATTTTTGTATTTCTTTTAGTAGAGACGGAGTTTCACCATGTTGGCCAGGATGGTCTCGATCTCTTGACCTCGTGATCCACCCACCTCGGCCTCCCAGGTGTTTCTTTATAGCAATGTGAGGATGGCCTAATACACCTTCTACTGTGGCTGCCGCGTTTTTTACTTCCAAGAGTGTTTCACTTTTACTTTCAACCCATCCTTATTTTAACTTCCTTCTTTACCCAGCTTGTAGAGGTTCCCTCTAGAGCCAGCTCCTAAGCCTTCCAAGCATCCTGCTTCTAAATGGTTTTAATTCTCAACTCTCCCCACTGCTGGCCTAGGAAATGGCTTTCTCCATCTACGCTGGGGAATGCTCGTCTGCTGGCTTCCCAGGTTTTGCTGCTGTTTTCTCCTCTTTCCCTCATTTTTGTGGTTTTATGTCTTCCTTTTAAAGCTCTCTATTGTTGTTCTAGTGAGATTTGGGGAAAAATGCAATTAGATGTGTATTTAAGCTGCCACTTTAACTTGAAAACCTCAAATATTCCTTTTCTGAAAGTCCCCCAGCCACTTCCTGAGAGCAGGAATTTCTCGCCAGCCCCCTCTTCTCAAATGCCAGCTTCCCTCCGTGTGGCTTGGATGCCTCAAACTCAACACCCTCATCGCCTTCATTTCTGTCTTCCTCACAGAAGCCACATGGCTCCGTGTGAGGCCTACACACAGCAGAGACAGACATGAACTGGAAGACTCCAGAGGAGGTGTCTGCCTGGGAGCAGAGATGGTAGGACCTGGGGCTGCTGCCTCACTGGGGAAGAGCTGGGTCCCAGGTGAGGACGTCTGGGCCCGGTTCTGATCTGGCCCAGGCTGGCTCACAGACAGACAATATCAATGTTCTGCGGTTCAGGCCAGGATACAGAAAGCATGGGATAGAGCGGGAGCCTAGAGGAATGTGACTCACCCAGCTGGGGGTGTTCAGAGAAAACAGGGAAAGGTAAAGTGTCCTGGACTCAGCTGGGGCTTGAAGAATGAGAAGCTCTTGGCCAGGTGGAGGAAGGGAAGAAAGGAGTGTTTCAGGCAGGTAGTCCACTGGCCTACGTCTGGTACCTCTGCAAATTAGACAGAGGTGCCCCCTCTGGGCAAATGTAGACAGTGACAGAGAGGCCTGCACATGTGAAGCTTGGCGTGCTCTGTGGCAGCAGAGAATGGTCTTGATGTCTAAGCCCTAATCCCCGGACCCTGAGCATCGGCTTGTGGCTGTGATGAAGGACCTTGAGACGGAGCGCGTCTCCTGGATGATCTAAGCTAGCCCTGAGTGATCACCATGACCCTTCTAAGAGGGAGGCGGAGAGAGAGGTCAGTGTCAGAGAGAGATGTGATGACAGGAGCAGAGGTCAGGAAGATTCGAAGATGCTCCTCGGTGGCTTTGCAGATGCAGGGAGGGCCAGGAACCAAGGAATCAGGAGGCTTTTTGAAGCTGGGAAAGGCAAGCCAGTGGATTCTTTCTCGGAAGCTCCAGAAGGAATGCAGCCCTGCTGCCACCTTGGCTTTCATCCTTTAAGACCCATGTTTGGACTCCTGACCTCCAGAACTGTGAAGTAATAAATCTATGTTTCGGACCCCTAATTCTGAGGCAGCTTGCTGCAGCAACAACAGGAATTAATACCCAGGCCCTGGTGCTTTCAGGGAAGGGCTGTGGCCAATGTGTCTGGGGCCTGGGGTCGGGAAGGAAGTGGGGACAGATGGGGGTAGACAGGTAGGCAGAGGATGCACAGGGCCTTCCAAGTCACAGAAAAGAATGTGCCCTAGCCCAAGGCAGCCCAGGTGAGACAGGAGTAATAGGAGAGCAGCATTTCGGGGGATCCCTGCTGTGGAAGATGTTGTAGTGGGAAGTGGCTGGGGCACAGTGACATTAAGGAGCAATATCAATGTAGGTGCAGCAGAAAGTGACATGGCCTGGACCTGGCTAGTAGCAGTGTGGGAAGGCACATGACTGAGAGCCCAGACACAGCAGAGGGCAAATTCCTCTTCTCCCCTGCCCTTGTTTTTTCCTTCCGGCCTCACCCAGCTATGGTGCCAAAGGCTGCAAGGGCCACCTGAGATAAGGTAATGACTTGGGAGAATAGTAAATTCTGGGGAATGTTTCCAATGGCTCGGCTAGGAAAGGGCAATTGACTTCCTATGTGTGCACAGCTATGCATGTGCACTCGCACCGACCACACACACACACACACATATGCGCGCACACACACACACACACACACGAGGGGTTCTAGCATGCCTGTGGCCTTTCTCCGCACACACACACGCGCACACACACACACACGCACAAGGGGTTCTAGCATGCCTGTGGCCTTTCTCCGCACACACACACGCACACACACACACACACACACACGCACAAGGGGTTCTAGCATGCCTGTGGCCTTTCTCCACACACACGCACACATGCACACGCACACACACACGCACACACACACGCGTGCACACACACACACAAGGGGTTCTAGCATGCCTGTGGCCTTTCTCCTCATTGGCCTTCTCCTTCCTCATGGGGCCGGGGAGAGGCTTCTCACCTTGGCTGTCCCAGGAGCCCGAGGTGTGGCCCAGGGGCATTGCTGATGTCAGTCTCCAACAGTGACCCCACTTTGGGGCAACCAGGCGAGGGAGACAGGGGTTGGGGCTTGGAGGACTGAACCCTGGGTGGGGAGGCACAGGGCACGCTGCCAACCAAATTCTCAGTCACACCTGTGATCACAGCCGAGGCAAAACCCTGGTCACTTCATCCGAAAGATGAAGATTGCAAACCACAGCACCTGTTGTGTGCACCCTGCATCCTTCATGCAATCTCCAGCCACTCTGAATCCCCTCCGGCCGCTCTGAATCACCAGCAGCTCTGAACACCACCCATTTCACCTGGATCTTTCTCTGTCTGGGCATCTTCTCTCCCTTCTAGTCTGCCTTGTTGTCTCCTCCTGATCCTTCAGGTCTGACATCAATAAATTCTTCTTCAGCTGCACAGACCCTGGTGCTAGTCAGCCCTGCAGTGAGTGCAGCCCTGCTGCCCGCCAGCTGGGTGGGGCAGTCAGGGCTCCTCCCTAGGCAAGAGACAAAAAACCTAGCCCACACTGGCTTAAGCAAAAACAGTATATATTGGCTTATGAACCTGAACAACCCTAGGGTAGACTTCAGGCAATGGTTTATCCAGGACTCAAACAAACCCGGGCCAGGTTTCCTACCCTCCGTTTTTCAGCCCCATACCAGGGAGCTTACACTCATTCTCAGATATACTTTATCCAAAGCCCCAGGCCACATGCTCCCCTGGCCAATTTTATATTCAAATTTAAATTTTCTGAGACAGATATAAACTATATAAATCCATAATATGTAAATATACTTTATATAAAATATGATACACAGGTTATATTAAATAAATTTAAATTTATATAAATAGTAAATTATTAAATTTATATTTGTATTTAAAAGATAAAGGAGGAAAATAAAAGCATTTTAAAATGAAGTATTGTTTTCCTTCTTTTCTGCTGGCCTGGGTCTTTATGTCAGGGCAGAAGTCTCTGCTGATAGATGAGAGAAAGCGTTCTAAAGTTGAGCCATGTGTTTTTGAGAGCTGAATGTTACATGCAAGGCAGTTAAAAATTAAAATATACCTTTGGCCAGGCGCAGTAGCTCATGCATATAATAGCAGCAACTTGAGAGGCTGAGGTGGGTGGATCATTTGAAGCCAGGAATTTGAAGCCAGCTTGGGCAACATAGTGAGACCCCATCTCTTCAAAGATAAAAATAAAATTAAAAATGTTTTAAAAATTAAAAAAAATTAAATGCAACTTTTCTTGACCCGTGCCTATTCTAGTAATTCTGCTTTATGCATTTATTCTATAAACATATGTCACTTGTTCAAAATAATTTATGCACAAGATTATTTACTGTGGCATTATTTGTATTAGTAGCGGACAGTTAGAAAAAGCATAAATACTCATTAATAGGCAATTGGTTAAACAAATTACAGGACATTCCTATAATGGAACACTGCGATACTATAAAGTCATAGTATCGTTAACCAAGAATAAAATCTCTCTCTCTCTCTCTTTTTTTTTTTTTGCGAGACAGAGTCTCGCTCTGCTGCACAGGCTGAAGTGCAGACGCGTGATCCCAGCCACTGTAACCGCTGCCTCCCAGGTTCAAGCAATTCTCATGTCTCAGCCTCTTGAGTAGCTGGGATTACAGGCATGCACCATCATGCTGGGCTAATTTTTATTTTTGTTTTTGTATTTTAATACAGATGGAGTTTCACAGTGTTGCCCAGGCTGGCCTCGAACTCCTGATCTCAGACAATTCACCAGTGTTGGCCTCCAAAGTGCTGGGATTATAGATATGAGCTACTATGCCCAGCCTAAGAATGAAATATCTTTATAGTTACATGGTATGAACTGCATGATATATTAAATTTAAAAAATACAGAATATCATATAACCATTTATATAAAATGTCTGGAAGGCAGAAATTTTGGAAAAGGGCATGCTCCTCTGGAAATGCTCATAGAGTGACATTAGCACCCTCTGAATTTTGTATAATTTGTCTACATTTACCTATTTGAAAATAATTATTTTTATAAAGCACCTCAAAATAATGAAAATATGAATAAATGAATAATGAATAAATGCAATGCTTAGACCAGAGTCCAGCCTAGAATGGTCACTGAGGAATTTTGCCTGTCGCCCCCTCCCAGGGCTGACTTGGCACTCTCTGTGCCCTCACCACCTTGCGTACACACCTCCATCCTAGCAATGATATTACTGTGTCATCATTGCTGAGTTCCAAGCCTGTCCATCTGGACCAAATATGACTGCACTGCAGGGGCATTAGTTTTTAGCTTTATGTCCTCCACCCCTAACATAGAACCTGGCATGGAGTACGCTGTTGAGTGAATGAAGGCCTGAATAAATTTATGAATGAATGTATTAGAATGAGGCCTGAGTCTGCTCTCTAGAAGCTCATGGCCCAGTAGTGGGACAATCATTTCAGTGACTACAGGCTGCATATGACAGTTGTCCTGTGACCCTGGGGATCTGGGAGAAAGAGAAGGGAATGTTCCCCAGAGCAGAGAAGAAGTGATTACAGTTGGAGGGGTGGGTTCAGGCCTGCCAACAGATGAGAGTCAGGATTGTGGGAATCTAGACTTGGCCACAAGGGCAGAGCTATGCTCAGTTGACCTGCTTCTCCCATGAGCCATGCTGGGAGCTGGATGAACTATTCTGTTATAACACAGGTTTCAATCTCAGGGCCATGCAAGGATACTTGAAAGACAGCGTAGCCTAACCAGGTGCTGCTTGGGGTCAGCACTCAGAGATGGAGCTGGGTACCCAGTCAGCCCCTCTGCCTTCATCTCCAGCCCTGTGGGAACTGGGTTTTTGTGTCTTCTGGAATCTCAGGACTAGGATTAGACAGGAAGTATGTACCCTTCCTGTATTTGTCCTAAAAACTGGCCTGCCTGTTTTCACAATATTGATCCTTCCTAACCATGAGCATGGAATGTTTTTCCATCTGTTTGTGTCCTCTCTTATTTCGTTGAGCAGTGGTTTGTAGTTCTCCTTGAAGAGGTCCTTTACATCCTTTGTTAGTTGTATTCCTAGGTATTTTATTCTCTTTGTAGCAATTGTGAATGGGAGTTAACTCTTGATTTGGCTCTCTGTTTGTCTGTTATTGGTGTACGGCAATGCTTGTGATTTCTGCACATTGATTTTGTATCCTGAGACTTTGCTGAAGTTGCTTATCAGTTTGAGAAGATTTTGGGCTGAGACAATGGGGTCTTCTAGATATACAATCATGTCATTTGCAAATAGAGACAGCTTGACTTTCTCCTTTCCTATTGGAATATCCTTTATTTCTTTTTCTTGCCTGATTGCTCTGGCTAGAACTTCTAGTACTATGTTGAATAGGAGTGGTGAGAGAGGGCATCCTTGTCTAGTGCCTGATTTCAAAGGGAATGCTTCCAGCTTTTTCCTGTTCAGTATGATATTGGCTGTAGGTTTGTCATAAATAGCTTTTATCATTTTATGATATGTTCCATCAATACCTAGTTTATTGAGAGTTTTTAGTATTAAGGCTGTTGAATTTTGTTGAAGGCCATCTCTGTATCTATTGAGATAATCATGTGGTTTTTGTATTTGGTTCCATTTACGTAATGGATTACATTTATGGATTTGCATATGTTGAACCAGCCTTGCATCCCCGGGATGAAGCTGACTTGACCATGATGGCTAAGCTTCTTGATGTGCTGTTGCAATCTGTTTGCCAGTATTTTATTGAAGACTTTTACGTCGATGTTCATCATGGATATTGGCCTGAAGTTTTCTTTTTTATTTGAGTCTCTGCCTGTTTTTGGTATCAGAATCATCAACCATTGTGGAAGACAGTGTGGCGATTTCTCAAGGTTCTAGAAATAGAAATTTCATTTGACCCAGCAATCCCTTTACTGGGTATATACCCAAAGAACTATAAATCATTCTGCTATAGAGACACATGCACACATATGTTCATTGCAGCCCTGTGTACAATAGCAAAGACCTAGAACCAACCC